AACTAATGTAATAAACTTTTGTAATCGTCAATAATTATATATATATGGTATAGTGAAAGATCATCACCATTTGTTGTTTCTAATAAGATTGTTTTAATTATATTCTACCTACCTAACTTATGTATACAGGGTGGCAAGTCTATCAAACCAAATAGGGGTAGATGAGGTCATCAGCGGCAAAAATTGTTCAGGAGGTCTCAAGGTAACCCTCAATTATGATTTATTTTGGTTTTTATATGAAAATTGACTTTTTAACTAAGTATTATTAAATTCGAAAATATCTTCATTCTATATTTTTTCCATAATATCCACTAGATTGGTACTGATGAGTTCTTGCTTTGACATACTATTTGTAGTTGTTTATTGAGTGTATCGAAGATAATATTATGTTAAACATATAACATTTTTTCAAATCATACTTTTTTTACTTCGGACCCCACTGTGAAAAAAATTACTCTACCAAAAGTGACCCTGTATTACAAGTTTTGGCCATTTTATAGGATTTGAAAAGGTATTACACTCCATATCCCTAATATCTTTTAGAAGAATTACAACAACAACAAGTGTGAAATAATTGTATTAAAACAATTATTTCTCAAAGGTGTTCTAAAACAAAACATTTTACATTAAATGTTTAAAATTCCTGCCTCTACCATAATAATTAATCTCACCTTATTAAATTCCTACATAACCCTCCACCTCTTCCAATTTTTTGAATCTAGTCCATTCACACACATTACAGGTAGGTAAATAATGTATCATAAGACCGAATCTTGTTGTTTTTTCGACTTAGAAAGATATTTGAGCCACTCATTCCATGTGTAATACCTTTTCAGAATCCCTATGAAATAAAATTAATAAGGTATTTAAGAAATTTTTTTCAATGGGGCAATAAGAAAATTTATATTTGAAAAAATGTTATATTGTATCACTTAATATTATCTTGAATACACTCATAAACAACTATAAATAGTATGTCTAACAAAATGATCAGTAAATATGATATTATGAGAAAGGTACAGATGTAGATATTTTCGAATTTTAAAAGAATTATAAAAAAGTATTTTCATATAAAACCAAAATAAATCATAACTCTGGTGACCTTAAGACTCAACAATTTTTGCCGCTGATGACCTCATCTATCCCCTATTTGCGTTTGATCCACGACTTTTTGGCCACCCTGTATATGTACATAAGTTTACTCCATCAAGCGATGCTAATATAATAGGTTCAGTCTAAGTAATTTAAGCCGTGCACTTTGTTGGGAAAATTGGGAGTGTATGTGAACATAACATGTTTAAGAAATCTCCGTACGTCTAATTTTTTTCATGAAACCTTGCATGCTTAGTCCATTTTCTCACGATATTAACTGTGTGTACTAATTTATAAAGAAAATGTATAGCCGAGGTTCAAAAAATTCATAGTCGAGACTAACTAAAACTGTTTTACAAAACACCAACAATCACAAAATACGTATATATAAAATTCTTTTTTTTTGAAGAATGACGGAAAATTACGTCTTAGTTGTAAATTCCGCCCTAGCATCGCGCTATTGCGAGGTTGAAAATTCACCCTTCACGCGAAAATGTTATACCTCCCATGGGACTCTTAAATAAATCCGTTGCACGATGGACTCATTTTTGTAACCGGCTCATTTTTAACTTTTTTCAAACTAAAAAAACGTCAAGTTACACACACTTTAAATATTAGAATAAAAAATGGGATATTTAAATAAAATTGCATATTCATTTTATTCACGCCTTTTTCCCGAATGAGTAGGCAGAGATCACGGATCTCCACCTGCTACGGTCCTGACATACCTCTCTCGCTTCATCCACTTTCATGACATTCACCATGCATGCTCGTCGGTTATGGGTAACTTGGTTAAGTCTCAATATAAATTTTGCCGTGCCATGCGACCTAAAACAGTTTCGCAGGGAATCAAATTCAAAATAACTTTATTCATATAGGTAAACAAATACACTTATAAACGTCAACAGTACATGTCAAACACAAAAAGATGTTAAATTGATTCTAAATTTACATTCGCAAGTCAAGGGCGTAGAGCGGGCAAGAAGAACTGGCTAGCAACTGTCTGCCACTCTTTTTAATCGCTTAGTTTTGAGTCGTACAAATTGTTTGAACTGGAGCAAACCAATCCCAAGGATTAGTATCATTTAAATGTTCGTCAAATTTATAACAAGCTTTATCAAAAAAAATCAATACCGGTCTGGGTAAGCCAAGTTATTCATAAGTTTTAAACTATTATTTTTTTGTCAGCTCTGGTCTGTGTAATATGTTTACTATATGACAAATTACAATCATGGTAGTACTATTTAGCGAATGGAACTATGAAACGAATTAAAGTAACTAATATATTTATTATAAATAAAGGCAGTAATAAGACAAAATTACATTGATTACAAGTTATCTGTTAACAATAAATTCTAAAAAATATATAACACTCTTATTCATAGAAGGAATAGTTCAATTTTAGGAAGTTAAAATTACCTAATTCTATTATTAAATAATTCCTAAACAGCAAATGTACATTAGTTATATTATTCCTCTAGTGTGTACGGTACAGCTCTTGAATAATAATACTAATGTACCTATTAGTATTGTTATTCACGAGCCGCTGCTGTCGCTGCTATTCCATAACTCTTGAGTAGTAAGATGTATGTAGTAGATGAGCATTTAATGCTCACCCGAGGCACGGGGATATTCCAACACCAGTTGGTGAAGTTGTAATATTTTTTAGAAAAATTAATTATTATTTTCGAACCCGAATTTTAGCATGTTCGCCATGAGGCCACTCATGCCATGTCAATCACTATACCATCCAGTCAGTTTCCTTACAAGTTCTTACACGCTCAATAAAGTTCGTTACAGTAACACAAAAGTGTTGTATGCATTAGGCATATGCAGCGTGCCTGCATACAATATTCTGCTACACTCCACGGCCACTTGTGTCCTGAACTCAAGATTCACTCAACATTCTGACCTGACACCATTCACTCCTGAACCCCTCTGCGGAATCTAACGTATAAGACTCACCATTCTTACCGCATACAGACTTTTTCTAATATTTCTAGTTCGTCTTAAAATTCATAATTTAGTGTTTGTAATTTTTATAACGCAGAAAAAAAATGTTTTGTTGCCTTTATGAAGCTAGAAATTTGTGCTATGTAGCGCAACAAATGAAATACTATTATAAATGTAATTTGTATGGAAAAAATCTCTATTGATTTTTTTATAGCTTAGATTTCTTTGTACCCATTTATACACAACGTTTATTCTATCCTAGTGTGGTCCTGGGGGCTATAGCGTGCGACTATCATCCCTGAGGTGGTAGCTTCGAACCCCGGCTGTGCACCAATGGAATTTCGGTGTTTCCATGTGTGCTTTTAATACTCAATCATATGGTGAAGGAAAGCGTCGCGGTCGTGAGCAAACTGGCATCTTAGCCACAAAAACTCGACGAAGTGTGCCAGGCACAGAATGCTGATGATCATGAAATGGTCACAAAACAGATACAGAAAATCTAAGGCCCAGGCCTATTAATATATTTCTCAATCTTAACCTTACAGGTCTTTATAATATTTTTTATCTTTTTAATTAGCAGATTAGAAATCCCCTTGGGCACAAGTTCGGTTTTTGTTCAGTCGACTTGACTATATTGGTACCTAATTATTTTAAACACCACTAGAGTCAATAACGTAAATAATATTTATGGGTGCTGTCTTTACATAAGTTCTAATTTTAAGAATTAATTAACACTCCATTGCACGTTAAGTTGTATAATTCTACAGTCTGTGATTTCTTCATAACCATCTCGATTGGCCGATAACATTTTGTGAAAAAAATTATCATAAATTTTTTTTTTCATTCGTTTAATGAAATAATTTAAATTTACTTAAGGTACAGAATATCAAAAACCAAAAACACAGTTAACAAACATAGCACAAAAACTGTTACTACGTACACATATAACGTCTACATATTATAATTTACAAACTGAACAAAAATTGTTACTATGTCTACATATTATAATTTACAAACTGAACAAAAATTGTTACTATGTCTACATATTATAATTTACAAACTGAACAAAAATTGTTACTATGTCTACATATTATAATTTACAAACTGAACAAAAAATGTTGCTATGTCTACATATTATAATTTACAAACTGAACAAAAATTGTTACTATGTCTACATATTATAATTTACAAACTGAACAAAAATTGTTACTATTCTACATAATTTACAAACTGAACAAAAATTGTTACTATTCACATTTTAATTTACAAACTGAACAAAAATCCTGTTACTATGTCCATATTGGATAATTTACAAACATTCTTTCTCTTTTAATCCTGAAAAAATTTTACTATGTCTACATTATAATTTACAAACTAACAAATTGTTACTATTCTACATATTATAATTTCAACTAACAAAAATTTTACTATGTCTACATATTATATTTACAAACTGAACAAAAATGTTGCTATTCTACATATTATATTTACAACTGAACAAAAATTTTACTATATCTACATATTATAATTTACAAACTGAACAAAGTTACTATGTCTACATATTATATTTACAAACTGAACAAAAATTGTTACTATGTCTACATATTATAATTTACAAACTGAACAAAAATTGTTACTATGTCTACATATTATAATTTACAAACTGAACAAAAATTGTTACTATGTCTACATATTATAATTTACAAACTGAACAAAAATTGTTACTATGTCTACATATTATAATTTACAAACTGAACAAAAATTGTTACTATGTCTACATATTATAATTTACGGAGCCAAGAAATACCTTTTAATGCATTTGGGGGAAATAAAACTAGAGATCTTTTACATAACATTTTCGGTAATCTAAACGAAACATTCAAAGAAGAAAATATGTAACTGATAAGTTTTCATCTATACGTATATGTTAGAAAATTCCGTTTGATTGCAGAAGAATGACCCCGCCAGCTTCAGATGACGTGGAACCACCGCAGATAGTGGTCTTGGACGGCGGATTCTCGACTCAGCTCTCTTGTCACGTTGGTCACGTTATTGACGGCGATCCTCTATGGAGTGCCCGATTCCTTCACACACATCCTAACGAAGTTGTCAATGCACATCTTGATTTTCTACGCGGTGAGTCTATAGTCTATAGTGTGCTTGTAATCTGTGAATCTATTTCTGCGTTTGTTTTTGGAATAAAATGGTTTTATCGTGTCTCAAATTGAAGCATAAATAAAATATAAAATAATGCAGGCAGGCCCACAATTATATCTGATATATCGATGGGATATATATGTTCCTGCTATTTATATACTAAAATTAAACTTAACTAAAATAATGTTTTTAAAGACTAAGATTCAGAATCAATTATGCGCTAAGTATGACTTCCGTATGTCAATGTCAAACGTATTGGGTTTTGACATCATGGAAAAATTATTTCAAAGTTTAATTGTAGTAGGTATATATTTACTGAATAAAATAAATAAATGATTCCATATTATTATTTCCAATTAACAAATAGTTTAATGTTAATTTGCATCCTTTTCACGAGCAGCACAAAATTATCTGGAATAATTAAAGTTAGCTTAAGTTCTGTGCTCGCTAGAGCTTGATCTACTAAAGATAAAACAATTTTTTAACTCGCCATCAACTAAAAACTTGTTCAGCAGTTCAGTAATTTTCATTTATATAATATGAAATTGATTCGAATTTTATTGTTTCTTACGTACACCAAAAACTATCTACAAAGCTTATTTTAATTAGAGTCTAAAATTGTTCTTTGTTACTAAGCACACAACGCACAATTTAATTTGTGTCCCACAAAATGATTATTTTTGACATATCGTTTTATCATTTTGGGCTGGCCTGCTGTGTTTGACCCAAAACAATTACCGATACAACGGGACCCAAATCCAGGACCTTCTGATTATGTCAGGGGCATGGCTAATGTTAATTTCAGAACATTACCATAAAATAAAGTAGATAAAAATAATAACTGTTTAGATTGCTAATAAGTTCAAATTTTATGCCCAGGGCTCAAACAAGTACATATGTAATTAAAAGCGTTAAATAGCACATTGAAAGGTCGTTCATTAGCTATCAGTTTATTAAAGGTTTCTTATATAGAAATGTTAAATAATATATCTAAACTAGAATACTGTGCTTAACTATAATTCCCTAGTAATTACAGCGCAAATGATTACTTATATTAACTAATTGTCAGAACGGAAATGCGATGGTATTAATAAAGGGCTTAGTCCAGTCATTCGGTATGTAAGTAATACCTTTGTATTAATATCCAAATTATACTGCTTACTGGTTTGTGAGCTGTAATAAATTAATTATTACATTATGTTAAAATTCTATACGTTGAAGTTGTTACAGTAAAAAGTTGTATTTAGTATTGTCTTTGATTAACATAACTTTTATTCATTTAATAAAACACTATTTTGACCGGATTGAAGTTATGTATTATTATAAATTTACAACTATTTAACATAATTTTAAATAGTTGTAAATTTATAATAATACTATTTAAAATTATGTTAAATAGTTGTAAATTTATAATAATACATAACTTCAATCCGGTCAAAATAGTGTTTTATTAAAAAGTTGTATTTCGAAAAAGCACAAGCACCAACGGCTGAGTGAAAAACGCACTTGGTTATTCGTTTCAGTGACTCGTAGGGGATTTTCTTTAGACCAAATACGATAGATAATGTTTTTAATTTGATTAAAATAGTTAATTTCACGCTGTTCCTTTCTTTTAAAATACTATGTTTTCAAAATTCGCCTACAGTCAATAGATAAGTTTATAAAATATTTATATGAGGTTTTTGAATTATTATGGCTAGTAATTTGGTTTTTACAACGAATTGCTTAAAAGGAAAGTGTTAAAATGATTTTATGATTATGATGAAAGAGATAACAACAAAGCCTGTTTTGGCTTTCTGTACTGTCAAGAGTTTGTACTATGTATGTTAGCTAAAAGATTAATTATAATTAAATAAATAAATAAACATAATTTTTCATATACAAGTAATACGTCTTATATATAATAAACATTCACGGGCTCGAAACGAAGCAATATATTAGACGTTCCCTTTCTACAATAAAATATGGCGTCACTTTCTAGCTTTAATATGTTGAAGCTCACGTAGGTAATTGACACACCTACATTCAATAAGTCCTCTGTAGATACAACGGTGTAATTGCGTTCTCTTCTTAGAGAGATACGAAATGAATTTCCAGGCAATCAAGTGTATGACAGATTGTATGGGGTGTGTTGCCATTTATAAAGCGATGTATTATCTAGCCGCATATTTCACTTTCTATTGGGCTTAGCAAAGATACTGTCATCATATTTGGGCGGTTAACACCCATAATGAAACTTCGCAAAACAATAATTATTTCGAGTTACAAACAGATGTTTTTTGCTTTAATTTAAATAAAACTAAAAGTTTCCTAACTTCTTACGGCACTTAGCAGCTCGATGTGCTTCCACATTTGAGCATTGAAGGCCCTTTTTTCGAGCAATATCACTATAGAAAACCAGATACCCGACGAGGTATTTCCGAGCCAATTAAAATTAGTCCTTTGGTCCTTACAACGCACTCACGAACCTTGTTAGTGTACATGGGCGGTGAGACCCCTGAACACTTGCCCCCTGTTCTATTAAAAACAGCCAGCAGTCTCTCGCTGAGATTTTATTTATCGACTTAAAAGCCCAGTTTATAATTCGCTATTTTTTTTTAAACATCACTGAGTTTATATATCAATGAAATAGAATCATTATTACTTACGACTATTAAGGTAAAGGAACATCATGATTTAATACAATGAAAAATTAAAGTAAAGCCAAAATAAATCCTCTTATAAGATACGTAATTGGTGTGACTATGGACTTTGACGATACAAATCAGATTAGATAAAAATATTATTACAATTACGCTTAAGTGGCGTTGGCATACAACATTCATTCAAAATTTGGCTACAAATATAATAAATTTACACAGTGTTTGCGTGAATTATAAACCTTAATTTAATAATAATACGTGAATAAGATAATAAAAAATTAGAGGTTTCATTGAATTTTCACCAATATTGTGAAACACTAACCTTTTTTAATAATATTACAAATAGGTACAACGAAAATTTATTATTTTAGTTACAGTTTATATGAATAACTAAAAGATTACATTGCTTACGATTTTGATTTACTAATTTGGGGGAAATTATTTTGACATTACCTGCGAGTATGATAAAACCTTGAAACTAAGGTTGGAGCTTTTGTGGGCAATTATTATGTGTATCTAATAGCTTAAATCTTATTTATTTTGCAGTGCACGCCAAATAAAGAAAATGTTCACTTATGTGTGTATTTTGAATATTTTCGTAGTATTTTAATGAAACCTTTTAAGTGTCATACTGAATATTAGACAAAGGAAAAAAAATAACTTCTTTTCTGTTACATGGAATTTAATGCCTGTTTTAATTTGAGGTCGCTGTTATAAATCTTTATTTTTATCCATAGCAGCTCTAGTATTTGAGATATAGCTATCAGAAATATTTTTGTATTTTTAAAGATTTTTGTTTGACATTTTCCACTATGAGAAATATCTGTAAAAACGATCCTCACTTTTTGTAAACATCTGTGGTGAATATACATAATTATGTAAGAAATCGTAAGTCGCATGTAATCCCTGCATCAGCGACATAAGTAGGTACGACCCCGTCTCATGTCATCGTCCTCTGAAAGCCTTTCACCACAAAACGAACAGTTTCTTTTCATAAGGAAAGCTGAAAAGTGTCTACAAATAACTCCCAGGAGGCATACCTACTGCCTTGCTTTTCCCCTCTCTACACTGCGGAAAGTAGGATAATAATGTCATATAAGTACTAATTACTGTATTGTGGTTCTACATTCTTAGTTTAACATCGCTTTTATAATACTAATAAATCGTTTATTTGCAAAGAAAGAAGGTACATACAAATTGATTTATTATTTAAAAAACCCACAATCAGCTATATAAAATAGGATTCAAATGTCATATTAATTATCATAATAATAAGAAAAGTTAAGTTATTAATAATTGTTGTCAAAACTTATGGTCTAAATACTCTCTAATTATCATGTTCTCCTTGAACGCTTCACACGGTGGAGTTCTACAACTTATAGGAAGATGATTAAATAGTTTGATAGCCGTAACAATTTATTAAATACATCGTGGTACTATATGCAGGCCCACCACTACAATTGTTGAATCCCTCGGTAGATAAAGGGATGATATACCTAGTTAATGCGTATACTTGAAGTTATAAACAGTCGCAGGAATATAACTATACATTTTATTTAGTATAGATTAGAACAGTTTTTTTATTTATTTATTAGTAATCTTACAGCTAACATACATATTATAAAACAAAACTCTTAGACAATATACAAAGCCAAAGCAGATTACATATATATATGAAAACATAAGTAAGTACATTAACAGGCAAAAAATAAGTTAGGTTTATCCAAATGAAGACTAATACAGGACAGTCCAGTTGTATACGATGATGATATCAAAGAATCGAACTTAATTCGATGTGTTTTTATATGGATGAATTCTCCGTCTGTGGACCAATCTTGTGATTGAGATGTCAAAATCGCCTGTAATTCTCTTATTTATATCGGAACCATTCTTTAGTTAGTGTTTTTTTATAAAAACGGTAATCTTAAATTATATGTTTATACTAGCGACCTACGCCGGCTTCGCACGGGTACAAAGCTGATACTAAATGTACCTTTTCAATGTGTACAATACTTAGTAAATTATTTTGATAAATCTCGTAGGGTTCCGCCTGCGTTTGCAATGTAAGCGGAAAAATTTAATTATTTACGACATTACATTAGAAACCTTGAAAATAACAGTATTTCTCCACTATTTAATGGATGTTATTATAAAGGGGGTCCCCGCTAAGGGGGCCCCTTTCCTTTTTTTATAAAAAAAAAAATTTTTTTCCCCCGGCCCCCTTTTTTTTTTTTTTTTTTTAAAAAAAAACCCCCCCCCCAAATAAGGAAAAAAAAACCCCCCCCCCCCCCCCCCCCCCCCCCCCCCGGCCCCCCCCCCCCCCCCCCCTTTTTCCCC